GTAACCTAAGTCGAGGAATGTAAACTGAGATGGGGTCAAGTGTTCTAACGTGAGTCGAGGAATGTAAGTTGAAATAGTGTAAACGAGGAAAGAACGTATATAAGTAGAGGAATAGAAACTGAGATAGTGTAATATGAGGTAAAGTGTCCAGGAATTTAAGTTGAGATGGGTGAAGCAAGGTAACCTTAGTCGAGGTGGTGTAATTTAAATAAATGTAAAGCAAGGTAAATTAAGTCAAGGTAGTGTAAGTTGGTATAGTATGAATTAAAATAACTTAGGTCGAGTAAAATATAAGTATACTAGACGAATGGCCTGGGCAACGCCCGGGTTTTACCCGAGTGCGAATATATTTTAAAAACGTTGTCTTGGGTGGTCGCTATAGACAGGGTGGTCTGTATAGACAGGTGTATGTATCACACAGCTGATAACAGGGTTGTCTAGAGTGGCCGCTATAGACAGGGTGGTCTGTATAGACAGGTGTATGTATCACACTGCTGATAACAGGGTTGCCTAAAGTGACCGCTATAGACAGGGTGGTCTGTATAGACAGGTGGATGTATCACACAGCTGATAACAGGGTTGTCTAGAGTGGTCGCTATAGACAGGTGTATGTATCACACAGCTGATAACAGGGTTGTCTAGAGGGGGGCAGGGAGGACACGTGTTCGCCGGCAGCCAATGGGCGCGCATTCTATCCGTGAGCTTCAGAATAAGGCAATTATATAAGTAGATATGGGGTAAAGCGCGAGGTACCGCAAGTTGAGGAATATAAGTTAAGATGGGATAAAGCGAGGTACCGTAAGCCAAGGAATGGAACTTTAGATAAAGATACACTTGTATGTTACCTTGTTCATTACTAAGGAAACTTAAAACTTAACTCGAGGATCATTTAAGCGTCAAATATCTCTCGATTTCGGCATCCGTAGAACTGATCAACAAGAATCACATTTTTCTCTTCAGTTAGAATACTATCATCCTTTTATCCTTAAGAATACATTTATCTAAATATCAATGAATTCAAATAATCACTTTAAATATATACTGAAGACACTAAACATCCTATATTTCAAATAAAACATCTCTCTATTTTATTATTTTAATATCTATATATTTTTTAAAAATCAATATTTTTGTGTCCCCGAATATACACCAAGGTTTATGAACAGTTTTCAAACTATTGAAGTACTTTTCGTTATTGCTCGATTTTTAGGTGCATGAGTGATGTTTGGAATCACAATATCGTAGAAAAGTATTTATTATTTTATTAACAGAGTATCATTTTTTTATGTTTATATTTTGTTACTCTGTAAACTTCTCTCATTGCTTATCTTTTGTTTATCATTCATAGTTTGTTCTCGCCTTAAATAGATTGCTGTGTCATCCTGAAGTTTGTCTTTTCTAATTTTACACTAGGCAATATTAATCAATCTCATACGGAAAATTTATTCTTAGGTAATAAAGCTTATTAGAATATCGGAATATAAAGGTTCCTTTGGTTTTGAACATTTTTCTCTACGTTCAGGTAATCCTTCTGTTTTCTAACACATGTACACCGTGATAAATACAAGTACAAATATGCATAAATACAAATATGTATATACTTTCCTTAAATTCTCTCTCTCTTTTCTTTTCGCTATTTCGCCATATGTATTTTATTCTTCAAAATAAAGTAAACATTTAACAACATGTAACCAAGAGACTTAAGGAAAAACATTGTCAATACCTATATATCACTCTTCACTTTTATATCCTATTATAAATACTTTGAACAATTTCAAAAATAAAAATCGAACCAATTAGAAAACTTACTAAAGCACGAATTTTAACTTAATTAAATCCGTGAAAAAAAAAAAAGATTTTCAGAACAGCTTTCTCTTTTTTTTTTCGCAAATCGTTTCAAAGGAAAATCTTTTTCTTTAAATCGACTTACCTTTCTTGTATATTCCATGAAACAATTTATTTAAATGTTTTTTGTTTGTCGATAGAAAAATACTTGAAAAGAGAACATATTTTTTCTTTTCCATTACCATAATGTATTTGAAATTAGAGATGGAGGAATATTTATAGTTTGTCTCTGTATGAATATTGTAGGAGTACAATATTTCAAATTGGAATTTTTATATATATTGGACTTTGTTGCCATGGAAAAACGCGTGGGTAAAACCACCATTGTTTGTGTTCGCTATTTATAAACCAATATCAAATTTATGTTCAATTTCTTATGATATAACCAAAATATATGTTTATTTCGGTATGGAGATATTAATAGAATTTTTATTCTTTAAATAAAATAACTACATATTTTCTTCAAAGTGTGCCTGGATCATGGTGCCGTGATCAGCGAAAGCTACACCCCTACACCCCATTCCATGAGATAAAGTAAGAAGAGCATGAACTCATGGAATGCGTGTATTCTTTACACAAGGGGATAAGAAACAACAAAAATATATTATCTTTCAAAATAAATATAGAATACCATAATTTTAGGATGGATTTTGATTAATTCAAAAGTTAAAAGCTTCAACCTTTTTATAAAGGTTTATTGTCCTTTGACCTTTTGGTGACTTATTGTCTATCTTTTAAAAAAAAATGTTGGAAAGCCTATTAGTAGACTCATGTTTTTCGATGATCTATTCTTCAGAATATATGTTGTCTGATTTTGAATTCATGATGAAGTCTTTAACTTGCATTTGAAATAAATATATATTATTTTTTTTAGAAAATATTTTTAAATAATTATTTCAATAGAAAGAGTAATGTATTTATTTATTTCTTTATATTATATTTAATTATTTCTTCGCTTTTTATTTTTTGCTTTTAAGCGATCTCTATGTGGCGGGCGGGAGAAGCAGCACAAGTAAGGGACTGCTCTGTAGAGCGAAGTACGGTGTCGTGAGCCCCGAGCCGCTACGGTAACCGTGAACAGGGAACTCTGAAACTCTGACTAACAAGGCAATGGCAACCCGCTTTCCATGAAGCAACAGAATCAATCAACACCATTTAAGTGATCCAAAAGCCAGAAGAAGAGTGTTGTTTCAGTTTCGTTTTTAGTTTTGATAAAGATACACATAGATTTATAATACAATATAATGCGGCTTATGATTATAGAACAACGTTTGAGAATTTTACCGCAATTTTTTCTTTTAAACGAAAAATCGTAATTTAGTTTAAGGAGAAATAACGACTTTTTCTATTTTAAGGAACGAAGTATGAAACGATGAATTGTGAATCCCTGAAGATAGAAATAGTCGTTATTTCTCCTTGAAATAAATAACGAATTTTCGTTCAAAAGAAACATTTACGGTATAAATGTCAAACGTCGTTATACACATAGATATGAAAAAAAAAATAGAAAAAAATAAAAGATAAGTGGGTCAGGTGTTGATATTAAAAATAAAGAAGGCATCTCCTGACCACGAGCATGTGTGCTTTTTAGATGGCAGAGCGCCATCTAGTGGAGCAAAAATAAACTAAACGTTTATTTAACTTGCTCCGTGATATTTGGCCAACCCAATTTCTTGATAAATCAAGAAAAGCCATCCACGAACGCGTTTCGCGCTGTTGGCGCTCGTCAGCGTGGAGAAGGCTGTAACCACTGCGACCAAAAATATTTTTTGGTCCCAATGGCTTCCCGAAAAATCAAGAAATGGGTATTCAAGGCCAAATTTGCGTAAAGACGCTTAACACATGAAAAAACAATATCTATGTATATATAGATATATACATACACAAATAGATGTATCTACATAAACTTAATCAATCAAATACCTTAGTATATACAACTACATTCAAAGTATTTATTGTAAATATAGTTCAAATAAATTATGAACAAATATAATGAATTCGAAGCCGTCCCTGTACTGATGAGGGCCTTAGCCTGAAACCATGGTATACAGGTTAACCCTTCTCAGTTTTCCAAAGATGTTGTTGTGGCTTTGTCACCGACCCGAGGCTACTATTTTAGGGCGACGGTAAATAGATGACAATATAGATCAATTTCCTCTCGGAAAGTTTCCATCTAGAGGTGATAATATATCATTATGTTGGCACACCAAATCATCCACCAACGATTGAGTAAAAGATAGAAGGTTTCATGTAGAAAAATACTGTAAACGTTTTCTATTAAATTCCAAAGTTGGAGTCTGATAGGGACGGAATGTTTTTCTCCCTTTGAAAAACGAGATTGTTGATTTGAAAATATATTTATAGGAGAAAAAAAAAGTTCAAAGAAATTTTAAAAACATCTCTTCAAAAGATTAAATAACGTTATATCTAGTTTGTGGTAGGTTTATGTGATTATATTTGCTTCGTTCCCATCATTCTATGAACCCCAGGTTCCGCCCGAACCCCTTTATATAGAAAGTGATTTATTGAAATATATTTTAAACAATAAGAAAATCCTATTTGATACCTTAAACACACCTGGAGGTATATCATGAATCAATTAAAAGGATTATAATGATTTATAGATAATAATAATAGGTAGAAATAGCTATGAAATTATTATATCAGGTTACTCTTCAGTATTTGTCAATATATTTTACTGTTGATTAAACTGGCGAAACCACTGGGAGGGTTCACCACTGATGAGTCAGACCCTTCCATCATTTTATCATTGCAGTAAGGGCATTAGAAAATTGATTAATTTTTGTGATGTTCCTTTAATTGAATATATATAAATATACTTTACCAAATTAAGAAACAAATTTTAATTATATATCTTTCTAATGCTATATATACACTTTTGAATATATTCATAACAACAACAATTACAGTGCTGCCAAATCCAAACATTCAAAATAAATTAATTAAACAGAGTATATTATATTATAATGCGGCTTGTGATTGCAAAACGACATTTGAAAACCATCCCGCATGTGTTTCTTTTCAACGAAAAATCAAAATTTATTTCAAGGAGAAATAACGACAATTTCTAACCTTAGAGATGAGGTATGAAAGGATGAATTGTGAAGAGTAATGATAAACGGAAAAATAAAAGTATCCAGGGATGGGAATCAAACCCGCAGTATTCCTCTTACGAGACAGATGCCATGTCTACTAGGCTATCCTGGACATATTTTTCCTTTCGTAAATAATACATACAATAGTATTATAAGGTATATAACAATTTCTGAAAGAATAGTTCAAAATAGTTAAAAATTCGTATAACAGATGGGGCGATAAGGCATCGTATATCTTTGTTATAATCATTCCATCAATTATTTTTGAAGATCATTTGTTGGTTAAAGGTTTGTTGGGAAAGACATATGTGTACACAAGAAGCTCCTCTTAACGTTTATTATTGTTTTTATGATCGTGGTTTTAAGAGTTTTAATTCTACAAAGACATATGTCTACATTTTTTATTTATTTCCTGACGTCTCAGTGGACACGTTGTCAATCTCCTCAAGTAGAATAATTATTTTTGTATCATATTTTTAATTCTTTAATTATAAAGGCATATATTGGATCAAAATATGATTTATTTATCAATTTTTCAGTTGACTCAACGCCAACCTTTATCAAGGTGTTATAACATTTTAAAGTGTGTCAACAACAAACTCAGCGCCACATAACGTCAACAGCATTAAGATTTTTAAAATATTTTGTTATATTCAATGGGGAGAAAATTTTTTGATATATATATATTCATATTATGGACAAAATATTTTTGTAAAATATAGGTGTGAATATTTTGAAAATTAACAATAACGCCTATTCTTAATTTGCAAAAATATATTTTTATTTTAAGCTCTCTTTATTCATTTCTCTATATGTACAAATACGTTACGCTTTACGCGTATTTTAGAGAATCGTGTAAATATATTGGTAGATGGTAAAGCACAATTTGTATTATAGATTATAGATACAAAAGGTAATAAGACCTAATCCATATGTTTTAATAGTGTGTGACGTTTCGTTAACAGCTTTGTTACCATCATCAGACAAAATAATAAAATAATTTTGTCTGATGATGGTAACAATTCTTTTATCAAATTACGAAACTAGTTTAGACGCGTAATATTCTTTTTAAAATAAAACAATTTCTACTGCCCTTACTGCAATGGAAAAATTAAAGGGAGGGCCAGGCTCATCGTTGGTGAACCCTCCCAGCGGTTTCGCCAGTTTAATTAAACTTTAAAATTTATTTTAAAAACAATATTACGCGTCTAAAATAGTTTCGTAATTTGATAAAAGATGGCGCGCTAGTTCATCGTAAAACAATTCGATTACCGAAACGTTACACACTGTTAAATTATATTGATTAGGTTCTTTTTTTTTTTCTTGTATCTATATATAGGATGGCGCTCTGCTATCTAAAATACACATGTGCTTGTGTTCAGGATATACTTTCTTTATTTTAAATATAAATATATGTTATGATTATTTTTGGTTTTGTTGTTGAAAAGAGGTTGCTTTAATTGAGCTAAGGAATGTATAAAAGGCATAATTTGGTAAAAGTACTGCCTGTCTTAAGGGCTAAGAATAAAAAAATGAAAAGCTTATTTACATAATGTACAAATATTTGAGCCGGCCATTGGGATAAAACAACAACGAGTTTTCATAGGGGAAGCGTGACCTCTGGCGGTCGATTTAACAGAGTATTTGGATCTATGAAATTTATAATTTTAAATAAAATAATAATTTCATATAACATATATGTATATATATACTAGATAGTAAAATGCATAAATTGGATTGAATAAAATATTGGTAAATAAATCATTTATTCAATCCAATATATGCCTTTTTACTATCTAATGATTTAAGAATGGATTGCTCTATTTTCAGAACAATATATATATACAAGTAGAAAATAGGATACAAAAATAGGCAAGCCCCTGAGGAGAGTAACAGCGTATCACTGAAATGATGGTAACTAACTAAAAAAATATTTTTTAAGCCATCACATCGACCTGAACGCTGGGGGTACATCGTTGGCGGAGAAACCCCGCGTTGGGCGCCACCAATGACGACAGTGTATATATCTTTCTCTCTCTCATATTTCACAATATATGTGCATTATGAAACATTATCAATATAAGAAATAATGTAGAATCTCAGTGTAAATATACATATCTATATTATTAAATTCTTTTATGGACCTTTTATAAGTCGAGAAATACAAGAGTCATAACTTTTGAAATTTCATTTTTATTCTATTTTATACAAGGGAAATCCATTTATATCAGTTTTTTTTTTTATGCAGATAAATCTTATATAAATATATACTAAATCTTAAAATGAAATTCAACCTGATAGATACACTAAATACTAAATTTCATTCACAAATATCCTTTTTTGGTTCAAAAAATAAATTAATTAAAAGGTTCTTCATGTTATTTTCTAAATTAATGTCCATTAAATATTTTATTAATTTGTAAATATAACATATTTTATGTTTTAACAGAACATTATTATGAAAATAATAGTACAAATATGATATTGTACTGGGATAAGGTGCATAATTATAAAAAAGGCATCTCCTTATCGTGCAACTGAAAGTTGCTGATGGCTGGCGCCATCTATCGGAATAAATATAAACTATTCTCGTTGATTTTTAATTATTCCAGATTTGGCCAAATACCCATTCTTGATTAATAATTATTATGTTGTGTTTTTAGTCCAGTTATTGAGTTGTATATAATGAATTGTATATAGGTTGTTAAAATAATTCATTTTAGATTTTCTCTTCTGTTTGAGAAAACCATCGTTTCAGTTTTAATTATGTTTTCAGACCGGTTATTGAATTGTATATAAGTTGCTAAAATGTATTTAGACGCAAGTATCCCAATTTGGGATATCGCGTCCGATATGTCAAATAAAATAATAAAAAACAGAACATTATAATGACAAAAATATATAATTTATATGGACAAATCAACTAGGTTTTTCAAATTATTCAGGTTTTAAGGATTCGGTAGTATATAGGTTTAAGCATTGTTTTCAGAATTTCCTTTGAGGCTCGGTGGATGAGTTGTCTAAACCGTTGTTTTATAACCGCTAAGACCCCGGATCGAATCCCACATAGAATACTTTTTTATAATAAAAATATTATAAAGCTATACAAACAGTTTAACCGCATAAGTTTCTTTTTTATTTATGAAATTCATTTTTAATTTCAAAGAGAAATATTTAATATTTCTAACTTTTGGATGACGTATGAAAAGGTTGAATATATGAAGAGTGATGGTCTATATATGAATGGATGACGTATGAAAGATTGTGGGTTCGATTCCCGCTCCTGGTCACTTTTATTTTTCCGTTCGCCATTACTCTTCATATTTTTCACCCTTCCATACGTCATCCATTCATATATAGACCATCACTCTTCATATATTCAACCTTTTCATACGTCATCCAAAAGTTAGAAATATTAAATATTTCTCTTTGAAATTAAAAATGATTTTTCATAAATAAAAAAGAAACTTATGCGGTTAAACTGTTTGTATAGCTTTATAATTATACGCCGCAGTCATTTATAAATAAAAATATTTTTCAATAGCTCCTGATTCTTGCAAAGGTCTAGCCTCACCAGCGAGTGCAAGTGACCAAACGGGTATTAGGGCACATTGTAAGTGCAAAAGTCGATCTACTTTTCATATATGTATATGTATACTATATATATCTATATCGTTCTGACAATAGAGCAATCCATACTTAAATCATTAGATAGTAAAAAGACATATATTGGATTAAATAAAATATTTTTTGCCAATATTTCGGCTGGCTGAACGCCAACCTTTATCGAGGCATTACATTTTTGTATACACAAACTCAGCGCCGCATAGCGTTATAATATCACAGTTGAAATCCAACTGGCTTTATACTATCTAATATATATATGTCATAATTTGTATATACCAAGATGTAACCCCACCACAATATATGCAATGTATGATCCAAAAGGTTTTAATAAAGGTTAGGCCTAGCGAACTGGGGAGAAACCATCACCAGGATTTCATTATCCAGGAAGTAAAGGTTATTACCCAGGAACTAATAAAAACTAAGTTCAAAGACCTTCTTCTTCCTGGAGGATGGTAATCATGAGAAAGACAATGGAAGCACCAATATCCAATCAGAGTCCAGCAGGAATAGCTAAAATCCAATCAAAAGTCGCCACGTAGACGATTTCAACCATGAGAGCAATAGAGAGTTAACGAGGTAAATCTCGGACTCAAGTTAAATCAGATGGGAGCTCGATACTACAAGAAGCAAGACGTGCTTCAGCCCTTCTCGCTCAGGTAACTTCGATGTTAGAATATCATAGTCAAGTACTCCATTAGTCAAAGGTTCTTCTCTTCCTAAGTCGCCTGGTCCTATTTTCAGTCCCATTCTGTGTCCTTCTCGTTATTTCCCCTGTGAGAAAACCTACCGTTTCAGCCAAACGACTGCGCAGTCAACAGGGTCTTACAACTACCAATCCAAACAACCAATCCGGACGATAGTATTATATATATGTATATACACTATTCATATATATATATGTGGTGCATTTACAGTGAAATCAGTCCTCAACTTCTACCAACCAGGATTATTATGGACTGTACCATGTATACTAGGGATTTAAAAATCATTTTCTCTCACATATCTATATTTTTCAATTGATGAGGCAGGTAAATTGGTATGTTTTAATGATAAAGTGGTTCCACAAATATATATCCAAGTTCTAAATATACTCATTACCAAAATAACCTTTTAATGGAAATTTTATTAAATATTATTGAATTTTCTAAGTAATTTTTCTATTTCTATCGTTATTAGTCTAATCTTATTAACTTTTATTAATCTTATTGTTTTTCGCAATTATTTCTGTATTTCCAAATGGGTATTAGTTTTTATTTCTTTTAATATCGTTGCTGTTGTTTTTATTTGCGGCTTTGTAGTTGTTTTTATAATCTTTGTGTGTATTTCTTTGTCGACATTGTTGTAATCTTATTATAAATAAATGTTTTTCTTTTAGTTTCTATGAATATTATAAATATCAAAGAATGTTTTCTCTTTGTGATAATTTCCAAGTATTAATTGTTCATAATTTATTTTTTTGTTATCAATTCGATGGTGATACTATTT